TCTTGTATCCGTTTTGGTTTGTGTTGGGTACAAACCTTACTTTCCTTGTTTGGGAAGTGGTACAAGGGTGGGAGACCAGCTTTTATCCTTGGAAACTACTTTTTTACCCGCCAGCTGATTTTCTGGTCGGGAAACTGATTTTCTTGGTCTTTGGGCCACATTTTCTGGTTTCCCACCCCACCATTGGCTTGTTTTCAGTGTGGAGACCACCAATTCCCCTAGCCGACCACCTTTTTGCCTGGGAAACCACTTTGGGTGGTCGGTCGACCACTAAAAGTAGCAGGCCGACCACCTGAACTGGTCGGCCTGCCTTCCCCAGCTTTGTCTCTGTGAGTTGTTGCCAACTATGCCAACTGGAAGGCACAGACTGGATCCTCCATACATGTGTATGGAGGATCTTCAGCCTTGGTTTTTAGCTTCTTTGAGAAGCTTTGGCCCCTTTTGGCTCTAAGAGAGAGCCGTCCTCTCCTTATACCAGGTTGGAAATTGGTTGAAAGGCCAAGACATATCTCTATCTATATCTCTATATTTTGGGTTCAAAAGGGTCTTGTTCTTGACCCATTACACCACACCTCATAGCCACACATCTCCACCATTGTTCTAAGGTTCTTGGAGGGTCTTGAGACGTCTCAAAGAGTTGGTTTTGGGCTGGAGAAGTTGCTGTCTTGCTGAGCTTCAAGGGTAACACACTTTTCCCCTCTTTTAAGCTTTATTTTGATCCATCTCTTAGACTTATTTGCATGCATATTTGAGCTTTGTTGTCAACTGAAAAAAGTATTGTTTTGAGGTCCTTTTGATGTTTGTTTAAGGTCATTTTTTGAGGGCCAAAATCAGAGAGGGGTGACCCTCTCTCTCCTTGTCTTGTTTGTTTGCATATTTGGCCTTTTAAAGAAGCCTTCATTTGCACACCTCTAAGCCTTGTCTTAGGCCATTTAAAGTGACTTTTAGGGCCTTCCTAGGCTCTGTCCAGAGTTGGTTTTGTCACCTTGGGTGTGTCTCTTGCATGTGTAGAATAACCCCACTTGTAGCCTATCAAAGGAGCATGACATTCTTGCATGCATTGATCATGTTTCAATGAGTTTTTGGGCTTTATTTGGCATGTCATGTCTCTGAATTTTTCTGGTTTAGTGGCCTCTTGAATGCTTCATATGCTTGTAGTGTAATCCATGTTCACTAGCTCACATTGCATGTTGTTTTGGCCCTTGATTCTAGCATATTTTGGCCATGCTTTAAACTGATTTTATTCATGATTTGGGCTGCCTTAGCTTTTTTTTGAGGTCCCATAGTCGAATGATGCTTGCCATGCATGCTTGTAGTGTAATACCCTTGCCTAGCTTCGAGTTTTGAAGCCTCTTGCATGCTTAACTTGAGTTGTTTTCATGTTTTGGCATCATTGAACATGTTATTTCAGAGCTTATACTTGTGCATATTCCCATGTTTTCCACTCTTTAAATGCGTTTGAGAGTTGTGCTTGTATGCCTCATTTTTGGGCTATTGCATGAGCTTCATTTTTGTGCATTGCAAGCCATCATTTTAGTCCATTTTGCCATTGTTTTGGGTCTGCATAGGGACTGTTTAAGGTTGGTTTGGTCATTTGGGCATCGCTTTGCATACCTTTAGTGTAATGCACTTCATTAGTTTCGGTAATTGTGCCATCCAACATGCATCGAGTGAGTTGTTTGCATGAGTTGGGACCATCTTGCATGTCATTTCAGAGCTGGAACATGTGTCATTGTATGCCATATTTCATCCTTGTCATGCTTTGGTAGAGTTGCACTTTGTTCCATAGGTTTGGTCCCTTGCATTTGTGCATGTTTGCATGTACCTTGTTACCTCATTTTCATCATATTGGCCACTGATTTGGGTGTGGCCAGGGCCCATCCATCTTGGTTTAAGTCCATCTTGCATTGTGTATGCCCTATAGTCCATGTTATCGCATGTTTGATCATTGCATTGCGTATGCCTCGTTCATAACATTGCGTATGTTAGTGCATTGTGTATACATGCCATATAATCCATGTGCATTGAGTATGCCATTGATTAGTTCATAGCATTGTGTATGCCATTTGCATGCTTGCATGACATTCCGTGTATATTCGCATCATTTAGTTGCATTGCATTTAGATCGCATGCTAGAGTTGCATTTGTCCATACATTGTTTGTTACATTGTGTTTGGAATAGGAGTTAGTCCAAATACGGGAAACGAAGAACGTTTCATACTCCAAGTGATAAAACGTGTCTCGATTCTCGGTCACCGACACTCTTGACCATCCATGATGGAGTTGTTGGTTTTAGTTGCTTATATGTGCATTCATGTTCCATTGAGTCGTGCAATTCAACTTCTCGGCCATCATGCATCGGGATACGTGATTGGTGGCCCGAGGATCGAGGACTACACTCCCTAGAGCTTATGCAATGATGAGGAGAATGGTCGGGCACACATATGTTGAAAATACCTCTCCTTCTCTCTCCCTTGCCTTTGTTGCGGAAAAAGCAGAAACCAGGAGAATGAACTGGTCGGTCGACCAGGTTTTCTGGCAGGTCGACCACCTTTTCTAATCTTCATCACCAAAGGTGGTCGGCAGGTGGTCTCCCTTGCCCATAGCTTGGTCGGCAGCCTTTCCACAGCTTTCTTGGATGGAGTTTCATCTCTCTGGAGCCTCGTGCAACTTTTTGAAATCAATTGCAAACAAAAGCGAGCCGGGGCATCGCGATGGATTTCTCGACAAGGTGACTCGAGCATGCACGCATCCTTTATCATTCGAAACAGAGCTGAGACAGTCCATTTCATGTAGCTTGCATGCTAATTTATTTGCTTCCTTAGTTTAATTTGTTAATTAATTAATGATGTGTAATATTTAGTTGTAATTCGTTATTCATCTGGGTTGTGTAATAATTAGTTTACGACAAGGCGACTCGAGCATACACGCATCCTTTATCATTCGAAACAGAGCTGAGACAGTCCATTTCATGTAGCTTGCATGCTAATTTATTTGCTTCCTTAGTTTAATTTGTTAATTAATTAATGATGTGTAATATTTAGTTGTAATTCGTTATTCATCTGGGTTGTGTAATAATTAGTTTAATTAGCTTAGATTAGCCAGTTGGTTGTGTATTATTCATTCGGACCCTCCAAGAGAGGGCAATGTTGTAATAAGTGTGTGTGTGTGTGTGCGTGATGTATGTCTTCCAACCCCACGTCTTTCTCCCTTTTATTTACCAGCTTATGATGGTTAGTTTTAGGGCATGTTTTAATTAGCATCTATATGTTCGCATGCTTGCATTCATTCATCTGTATTGCATGCACTGGGCTGGGCGCATCATGCTAACTGCATTGTATTTCAATTCCAAGTTAAATACATGTATCGATTGTTGCATCTCATATGCCATCTTAGAATAGCCGAGCCTATCTCAATTGCATTCTTGCATGTGTTGCATTAGGCATCTCAGTATAGGTAGGACTCATGCATGTTTTCTAATTAGCTTCTTTCTTTGGCTCGGAGTACTCGGTAAGTGTTTATGCTTTAGCATCCTTGCATGCGTGTGAGTGACTGCCATGATAGCAGGCTTACCATGAGGCTATGTGCTTATGTGATATAACTACCTGAATGCCTGTAGGTGAAGGTTGGGTTGCTTGAATTGGAATAATTCGTCGAAACCCGTGTTTTAGCCTACTTGCGAGTAGCAAACTTCAATCCATTTTCAAAACAAACGGATATGCAATGCTTAGGCAATCTAGTCTATACTTGCATGCTGTGTGCATCACATAGTAATTCTAGGCTAATAAACCAAAATAAGAGCACATGTGTTCTCAAAAACTCGATATCATGTTTAGTAGTGGCCGATCTTTGATCGGGCGAGCGGGGGTGCTCATGAAATGACCTTCCCCAATCGTACCCAAGTTCTTGAGCCGAGGCAACTTTGATGATGACGAACACGTGGCCTTAGGCACGAGTCAAGATTTCCAAAATTCCCCCAAAACAAAATATTTAGGCAGCGACTCTGTATCTGGCAAAGCAGTCCATGTTTGGCACTTCTTTCTAAAAATCTGTTTTTCAAAACGATTTGCCGGATTTGGACTCTTTGGTGATTTATCGGTCTCGCATTGCACTTTACGGGATTAGATTCAGAACCGTGACATTTGAGTCCGAACTGTAGTGAGCCGAAATGAACAAAACGACATTTTCCCGGGATGTTCGGGGACGTCTACACTGAGCTTCAACATTGTATATCTATCTGTGAGAGATATTTTTGTAACATTCTTTGAAAGCAAAAACACTCAATTCCAATCTTGTAAAAGGTCACTGGCAAGCCTGTAAAGCTAGGGAAAATCTGTAAAGGATTACTCCATGTGTATGAGGTAACTGGCACCCTTGTGAAGCTAGAAAATTTGTGGAGGATTGCCCCATGTTTATGAGGTTGCTAGCACCCCTGTGAAGCTAAAAAACAGTGAAAAATCTCAAATGAAGCTTGAGAAGTGGATGTAGGCTTGGTTAAAGCCGAACCACTATAAATCTGTTTGTCTCCTCTTCCCTAATCTCTTTACTTTCCTACTACTACTATAGCTATCTGATATTTATGTGTTAATAATTTGATTTACTCTCTGTGGTAACTATACTTCATCGCTATTTTGCTTGATCATTTACTGCTAAGTTCATCATTGTGCTTATTAATAATTTGTTGTACTAGTAGTTAATTTTATTGGGGTATTATTTATTTTAATTAGTAGAAACCTAATTCACCCCCCCTCCCTCCCCCCACCCTTTCTTAGGTTGCTTTTAGGATAACACCTTTCACCCTGAGTAATCCACTTGGCCCTAGATTTTTGGAACCACAAAAGTTCCTTTGGGTACAAAACTTGATTATATTGCTCAACAAGATCAATTTCCAAGTGGTAAAGGTTATGGGAACAGATAGAAACCTGGGATTTTTGAATTCCTTCAATCCTCCCAAGTAGCCATCTCTTCCTTCTAAAAATATTGTCAAACACCTGTTTATTCTAGGTACTAACATCTTGAGCAAGAATTGCAAGACTCTCATTCAAAGAGGGAGAAGGCTTAGCGCAACTATCCTCCACCACAACCTTAAAATTCTCATGGGTGATCCAAGCAACCACAAACTTAAAAGGTTTACAAGAAGGGTTAAAAGGAGACTTACCTTGAGTAAACACCATCATCGGAGAATGATCCAAGTATGTGCAAGGTAGGTTTTTGACAGCCCCATCTGGAAGGGTAGTTCTCCACTCAATGTTACACAAAGCCCTATCCAACCTAACCATTGTATTTGCCCATCCTTTCCTATAATTAGACCATGTTAGCCATGGTCTTGCGCATCCCAAATCCATCAAATTACAATTATTGAGTCTTTCATTAAACTTTCTACTTCTTCTTTGATCTTGGCTTATGCTTTGATTGTTGCTCCCTTGAAGGCTTCTTTTCTCATTTTGGGAGGTGAATTCATTAAAGTCTCCTACAACTGGCCAAAGTTCATTCATGGACTTAGCAATAGCCTCAAGATGTTCCCATAGCCCATCCCTCTTGCTAGCATAAGGACTTGCATACACCGCTGATAACAACCAATCTTGGTAGTCTTGCTCAGAGATTGTTGTTATTATTTGTTGAGAACAAGCCTCCACAACTCTGACATTCACCACATTGGGGTTCCAAATCATCCAAATATCCCCACTCTGGCCAATGGAGTCAACATGTGCTAATGCCATAAAACCCATGCAGTTGAAAAACATTCCCATGTTTTTAAATTCCACTTTAGTTTCCATTAAAACAATTAGTTTTGGTTTGTAAATTTGAACTAATTCTCTCAAGTTTCTCTTAAATTTCTTGTTACTAGCTCCTTTACAATTCTAGATTAGTAAATCCATGGAAGATATATCTTGGTTAAGTAGAGGAGTCTAGGCATCAAGTTCTAGATATCTTCTTATTGCTTGATGATTCTTTATCATTGACTTCATCGGACTCACTGAAATGTAGTGGCATTCTTGACTTGCATCCATTTGCCTCCAGGCCTGGATTCTTAACTGTACTTCTTTGTTCCACCATTCTGAGGTGATGAGGTGAAACACTTCTTTCCCTGCTGGGTCATGTTATGCTTCTCCATCGGGTAGTTCTCCCCTTCCTCCTCCATTTTTGTCTAGTGGATCTCTACCTTTGGGTTTGTTGAACCCAATTCTATTATGAGTGACTTGGGGTTTAATGGCGATAATGTTGGGTTGGCTAGTTATGGCTTGGAAAATGCTTAACTGGTTTTTGGGTTGCTTCAGTTAGAGATTCCAGAGCTGTTTGGTTCAGGTGGTTTGATGTCTCTCCTATCCCATGCTCTGCCCCTTGATGCTGAATCTCCATGTCAGTGACACCTTTCTTCCCCAGTCTAATCTCCTCTTTTTTCTTGTCCTTAGCCACTTCAAAGCTATTTTCATATTTCCTTTCAACTAGTCTCAATCGGTATTTGAAGTCTGCCTCAGAATACGCCTTCCCATTTGATCATCTCCCCCTTCCTACCTAGGCTTTATGACCTTTGTTTAGTTCACTTCCTTCTGTAAGGGCTTCAAATCTATTATTTTGTTGCATATTATTACCTTTTGATATTGTTAGGCCTCTTGGCTTTCTTTTCAGGTTCGAGATCCATGACCCATACTTCTCTTGGTTGGGCTCACTCCATGGTTTAGCTATTTTTGGGTTTAGTCCATTGCTAGTTTAGGCTTTCTTCACATGGCTTTCTTCTCCGACCACCTCTTGCCCTGGTGCTTTGATTGCAGACATAGTTCTGTCACTACAGCTTTCCCTCCGGTGCCTAACCCTGCCACAAGAAAAGCAAAATAAGTGCAAGTATTCATATTCAACTCCGTAAATGTATTTACCTATAGAAAATTAGGAAATCAACAACTTTCTGAGGTCCATTTCTACACAAACTCTATCATATTTCCCTCTTGCTGCCATAGCTGTGTTAATGTCAACCTTCAAAGGAACTCCTAGCACTTTAGCAATGTGGAAAAGGGCCTTCTCGTTATAGTACTCAATGGGTAAGGTGGGAAACCTCACCCATATTGCTATGGTATCCTCTTCAGCTTCATTTGACTTGAAATCTTGTTGCCATTTCCTCACTATTACATTGTGATCCATCACTAGCCATGGACCTCCAGTGTATACTTTGGTATAATCATCTATCAAGTCAAACTTGACTATAAAGAATCCATTTCCTACATCTAGGGCTTCGAAATCAACTTGAAGACCCCAAATCTTAATCATTTTTGCCATAAGTAACTTGTAGCCTATAGTTTTCTCCAATAGTCTTACAATCATTTCCTCTACGGCTCCCTAATTTTCTTCAACAGAAATGCTGGTATTTTAACTCTAGGGATCCCATCCCCCTCCTCCTCCATCTTCTAATCCTCTTTCTCTGTAGCCTTCAACATGTCTGTTTCTTCATCATCAGAAAATAGCTCCTCCACATCTAATCAAAGTTTTTCTCATTTCCATTTTCGTTGAATCGCAATCGAATGAGTGCTTGTTTGAAAGTTTCTTCAACAGAAATGCTGGTATTTTAACTCTGGGGATCCCATCCCTCTCCTCCTCCATCTTCTAATCCTCTTTCTCTGTAGCCTTCAACATGTCTGTTTCTTCATCATCAGAAAATAGCTCCTCCACATCTAATCAAAGTTTTTCTCATTTCCATTTTCGTTGAATCGCAATCGAATGAATGCTTGTTTGAAAGACTTTGAATCTTCTTTATCCCTAGCATTCTCCATTTGATCTAAACTTGAGTTCTCACCATTTGGGAGTGATTTCCCCTCAATCATGGTCTCAATTACTTTATTAGGGTTTGATATCTCCTTCCTTGTTTTGTTACCCATCGAGACACCTTCACCCATGACTTCATCCTCATGGTCACCGTTGCTTTTGATTTTCTTAGTCCTTCGGATCAGATAATCATTCTCTTCCGTCAAGCACCCATGATCCTTCTTCCGTTCTCCATCATTCACAGCAGTAGTAACGGTCATTTTCTAGAGAGAGACCTAGTAGAACCTTCAACTCCACATTTTATAGAACCCACACAACCCTACATGACATTGCTAGATCACATACACCAACAACATTTTTATTTTATTTTATCAATAAAAAGAAAGATTTTAGGGGTAATTATATATATAACTCTAGAATTTCAACTTGTGACAAAATAAATTCTAAATTTTTAATTTTATCAATTTAAACCCTAATTTTTTGATTTGTTTTCAATTTAAACAATTTACCTATTTTCATTAAGTAAAATTTACACACAAAAAAAAAAGAAGAAGAAGAAGAAGAAGAAGAAGAAAGAAGGGAAAAAAAAAAGAATTTTAATAATTAAACTCAATATAAGTATACATAAAATATCTAAAATAACCTTTTTCATGAGTTTAATTACTAAAATATTTATTTTTCCATGGATATTACTTAACAAAAATAGACAAATAGATTAAATTGAAAACAAATCCAAAATATAAGGTTTAAATTGACAAAATTAAAATTTTAATATTTATTTTATTACATTAATCAAATTTTAAATTTTTTTATTATAATTTTTTTTAAATAATAATGTTTGGGGAGTTTTTTTTTAATATTCTAAAAATAATAATGTAGAGAATTCACACACACCTTAAAGAGTGTGTACCATATACACCTTATAACTACAGAAAAAATGGTATAACTCTATACTTTTTGAGTAATAACTAAAAAAAAAAATAAAAAGTCATAATCAAATATCTCAAAATAATGTTATAACTAAAGAAGAAAATTGATTGTGGTAAAAGAAGAAAATGACGTAATTAAGGATGTACATGATATGGTATGTGGTGTGTATAATAAAATTCTCCATCTATACTATTATTAAAATTTAAAAGTGAACAACTCACTTGATTTCCATGAATCTACTTCTCTCTTTTTGCCAAGTGGCCTTCTCTCATTACACCAAGTGTCAATTTCCCTATCCAAAAGAAAGAAAAAAAATACTCCCTCCGTCCCAAAATATTAGTCCCTTATTCCATTTTTCATTGTCCCGAAATATTAGTCCCTCTTTAAAAATCAAGTACAAAAATAATGTAAATTTCCTATTTTGCCCTTCTTTTAAATTAATAAACAATATAAAAAGTACAATTATGACATTGATATTCCCAAAAAATGTACTATCAAAAGGGTAATTTTAGAAAATCAACTTTTTTCAAATGCAATAATTGTACTATCAAAAAAAGTTAGATTCTCCAAAAGGGTCCAAAAGAGACCATTATTTTGGGACTGAGGGAGTAGTTACAAAAAGAACACAAGACTTGAACTTATAACCATTGACATAATAAAAAATAGTTTTACCACTTAAACAACATAAAAGATATGTTTCTAATTCAAAATTAAAATTTATATTTTAAAATAAACACACCCATAAGGTGGACTCACACTCCTAATATATTATATAAAACAAGTTTGTCAGTGTCCTGTAGCCTATATCTCTCTCTTTTTTTTTTCCTTTTTTTTTTTTTGTCAAGTGTCAATTTCTAATTAATAAAGATGAGATTGTGATTTGAACATAAGACCTTAAAATCAGTACCACTTGAATAATACACAATATATGATTAATATTTTATTTTAATTCTACTTACTTGAATTGCACACGTTTTGTGTGTATAAAACTACCAATATTTTTAAAAGGATAGACACAATAAAAAAGTCATAATGTTTTTTTATGATAAAAGTGATAAATATTTGTGAGATGTGTTATGTCATTTTGTCATGAATTTGGGTAGAGATTTTTATTTTTTGAAAGTTCTATCAAACTGTAATTTTTCCCGAAAATAATGAATAATAAATTTATAATATGCTCTTTACGACTGTGTTTGGTCATGAATTTAAATATATAAAAAAATTAGAAATAAAAAAAGAAAATATGTGTGAAATGTACCTAAAATATAATTGTATTTCATTTACATTTCACCCATATTTTTTCTTTCATTTTTTATTTTTATTTTTTGCAAATCTCTATTTGAATTTATAAACCAAACACATAATAAAGTGAAAGTTATAAACAATCATAATTATATTATGAATGATGGTGTAAATACTATCAATCATGTATGATAAGTAATATTATTAATTATTTTAATAAAATAAAATAAAAATTACAACTTGTTGTGATTACTTTAAAAAAATATAGTTGCAAAAGAAAATTACAAAATAATCCAAAAACAGAAAATTTAAAAATAGACCTTTATATAAATTTTGTAGATGCATTATTTTTTTAAAAAAAATCAGTTTAATCCAAAATATTTTAAACCATTCGATTCTTGAAAACATCTTTTCAACTGTTTTTAAGTGGACCATATCAAAGGAAAATATTTTTTGAATTTTAAAAATAAAAAAAGAAACTAGTTTGACAAAAATAAATATCAAAAATATATTTTTGAATTTTTAAAATTATTATTTTTATTTTCTTCACAAATCTAAATTTTAAATTTTTTTTAAATTTGAAAATTTTGTTTTTGAAAACCTAACTAAATATATTTTAAATACTTGGAGGACAAAATTGTCTTTTTACCAGCTAATCAGGAGGAGGGCTTATTTAGGGACTGTTTATCTCACCCTCTCCTAGGACAGAATCATCCCACATATGAGAGACTAACAGTCCAGTCCAGCCTATAATTTTTTAACCAAACAACGGACTAATTGGTATGATAGACATGGAGTGCAATCTCCCCTTCTAATCTTTCCAAACAAACACCCTCTTAGAATGTATATCTACGGATCACATAGCTCATGTGTATATTTGTAATGGATTATTACATATATACATGTGTGTGTTGCCATAATCTGCCAGTTGGATTATGTAACCTCTATGACTGAATTAACAAAATTCTTCATTCTTTTAATTTCTATCTTAAATTACATAATCAAACTAAGAAAACTAATTAGCCTCTATTTATTTATTATTTAGAATCTCCAAATTTTATACAAATACTTTTATCGAAGAAAAGAACTATTAGGTCAGGCAGTTAGCCCCAAGTTAGGTACTGAACAATTGATCAGTTGGTTAGTTGAGTTGTTAGGAGTCGGTTTTCAAGTCTATATTTATAAATCAATGTCTCTGTAACAGATACCAAAGAAATCAACAATAAATCCCTTGTTTTTCATCTTATTCTTCAAGATTGATTTGTCAAGTTCTATCGAGAACTATGAATTAAGCCCGGCATATTTCAAGTTCCTTAATAATTCAAGACCGTTAAAATATGATAAATCTTCTTTATCAAAAAAGAAGTCTTACAATTTTTCCCAATCCCAAGTTACAATACAAACTACACTGAAGTGAATAATACATGAATCCAAAATTTGTGACCATCAAATTATGCATTTAGTTAAAACTTCAAAAGATGAACATATTCCATTGAAAGAAAATAATAATAATAATAATAATAATATTAATTACAAATTTGTATAAAATTTAATAGGGAGAAGACAAGAATACCTTGGGTTGCAACAAATCAGAGTAAGCAACAGATACCTCCTCACGGCTTGATACTTGCAACAATTATTCTGGGGACCATATTATATTCCTTAGTACCCAGTGCATTATAATAATCAACACAAAAACTGAACTATACTGAATTTGAATGACAAGTTCAATCATTCCTCGTTTTTGGACAAAATATTAACAATGAATTTACCTTGTGTTGAATCACATTTTTGACAATCACCATTTTCCATCATTTCAATTCCATTACTGCTGCTATAGAGCATTCCAAAGCCAAGCCGTCTCGCATCCTTCTTTTTTTTTTTTTTTGGGTAAAACAGAATTGTACAACAAAGGAGAAACTACGTCCTCATCCTACCCAAGCCTATCATATCATCAACAAGCAACTCTCTTAACTCAGCTGGTGGATCATTCATCACCAGTATTTCTTCAGGTTGATTGGCTCCCATTTTTGCCAAAAAATCAGCACACAAATTGCCTTCTTTCCATACATGTTGCACAGAGCAATCACACCCTTTGAGAAGAATCTGGGCATCCTCCACCAGGTTCTTGAAAGGGCATCTGTCCCCTGGTTCTTCTTGTAGCAATTGTACTACCTGTTCGGCATCGGTCTCGATCATGACTTGGTTTATTCCTTTTTATAGTATGATAGTCAACCCTTTGTATACAGCCCACAATTTAGCTTCTAAACTGGTTCCACTGTGCAATTTTCCATAGTAGCCACACACCCAAGTTCCTCTTTCATCTCTGATTAGGCCCCTAAATCCTCCATCGCCACCAACTCTTCTGCTGCCATTCGTATTTAATTTTA